ACTCAGGGGTCAAGGACAGAGCATTTGACTTCCCAGAACCCATATTCATGATCCCTCCCAATCCTGGCCACTTCCTTCCCAAAGTAACCCTTGTTCTGATTTATCATACCATAAATTAGTTGTACCTGTTTTGAAACTGTGTACAGTAAGTACTCTTTTTGGTTTGGCTCTTTTGTTCAACATATGTTAAGATTCTTCCATGCTGTTTGCATATATGTGAAGTTTATTTTCATTAATATACAGTATTATGCCATAGCTCAATCTGTTTTACTGTTAATGGATATCTGGATTGCTTTTAATTTGAAACTATTATTAGTAATGTTGCTTTGGATAGTTTTATTCTTTCTTTTGGTGTATATGTGCGAGTATTTCTAGTGAGAATATACCGAGGAGTAGAATAGATGACTCATAGGATATGTATATGTTAAACTTTAGCAGCTAACACCAAATAGTTTTCCAAAGGGATTATACAAATTTCCACTCCTACCTACGGCATATGAAACTTCTAGTTCCTCTACGTCCTCACCAACACTTGATATTGCCTGTCTTTTGTGGGTATAGGCATATCTCATTGTGATTTAACCAGCATATTAACTGTTACTGTGAATTACGTGATCACTTGTGAGGTTGAAGGTTCTTTCATATGATTATTGGCCATTTGCATTACCAGTGATTCGTTTTTAAGATATACTTTGTTCTGTCCTTTGGATAGTAAATCACTCCACAAATTCTTTCTCTGAAGGCAACTAATTTAGAGTGTTGGTTTTTGCTTTTACTTTGTTTTTTTACCTTATTGCATTAGACAATAGTAGTAATTACTTACTGTTCTGTCCCTAATTGTTTTACTTATTTATGTATTATGTTCCCTAATGTGAATGTGTGTCTCATCAAGGCAAGATTTTTGTCTATCTGTTTCATGGTTATTCCTCAGTACTTGGAATAGTGCCTGCCACATAGTAAGTATTCGTAAACTTCTTGAAAGAACACATATATTGATAAAGTTTGAAGAATGCTGTGGATTTATTATTTCAATGTAAATGTATTTTGTATTAACACTCCAGTGCAGGGCACAATACTCAAGTTAGGAAGCATGGTTTTGCATTTATCAACCTGTTTTTCTTTTGTATAATAATAAAATGTTAGAGTGGTATGCAATTTAGAGATCTTGTCTAACTTTTCCTGTGTGTGCTTCTCACACTGGGGTAGGAGTAGTTCACCGTGTACAGCAGGATGTCATTGTGTACCAGGTGGCTGAAAGCACTAATTTTGGAGCCAGACTGCTTAGGATCTAGCTGTGTGTCCAGGAGCAATTTACTTAACCTCTCTGTACTTCAGTTTTCTCAGCTATAAGATGGAAATAAGAGTACCTACTTCATAGGACCTTTAAGATGGTTATGCCAGGTGCTGAGAACAGTACCTGGCACAGAGTAGGCAGTATACAAGTGTTACATATAAGGTAACAGGAAAGTAGGGAACTAACACAGACATAATACAGACTACAGATCACTTTTTTTTTTAAAGAGAAATGATGACATTTCCAAGAAGTTTTTTGTGTTCTTTGGACTATTGAAACAGATGAATAAATGGGCAAGTGGAGGCAGTGGCTTTAGAGAACAAAGCAAAAGCCAGCTATAACTAATAACTAGGTTAAAAATAACTATAAAAGTATAGAGATGTATACTTTATTTTTTACACAGTACTCTGAAATTCTGATGTTGGTAGCTTACTACCTAACAAGAGAGATGACTTTTGTTGAACAGAACTCATTGTTAGAAAATTCTTTTGTTGATCTGAAATTCACCTCTGCTGTTGCTTTATATTGGTCCTTGTTCTTTCCTTCAGAGAAATATAAAGTAGAGGTAAACAAGTTAGTTGGTTGTGTTGCTTCATTAGTATTTTCTTCTACAGTTTAAATGTCTGTAGTGTCCTTGGTCCTTTGGATAGGACATGCCTTTGAACCCTTTATCATCCTCCATCCTTCTCTAGGTATAATTCGCTTGTCAGTATTTCTTTTGAAATGCAAGACCTAGAGCTACTGACTGGCCACATTTGCTTCATCTGCCAAAGGTAGAAGGGACACAATAAAATGAAAAAAAAAATTGCATTTTAGACCAACTGGGTCATTAATTGACTATAATATTGGGTTAGTCACTAACTGTAGCATCATTTATCTCAAATGGAATGATTGAAATATGGGAGATCATTAACGAACCTTGATATGGGTAATTTAGGTATTAGTTAAAAAGAAGCTAAAATATTTTGCTTTAACAAGAAAAAAGTACACCAATATCTATGCTAAATGTCAAATTCTTTCCAATGTTGACCTGATTGTCAATATGCAGATTTAAGCAAAGAATTCTAAGATCGTTTCAGTGACATTGCAGTTAGTATTATTAGAATAAACTGTACTGGTAATATCTTGGGTGAGGTTAGCTTTATTGCCTGAAAAATTTTTCTTTTAGGTATTGCAGTTACTCCAGCATGTTGGTTAACTGCAACCTCGGTTACTTTTATTTGAGACCCCTATTCCACTTTATCTGAGTATTTGTTATAGAGGATAATTGTCACCCATTTTGTTGATTTCCCAGTGTAAGCAAATTAATTATTTATTTTTAGTTTTCCTAAATTCATTAGAAAAAAAATAACCTCACCATTTTGATTTTAAAAGTCTCTTGAATCTTCTTTGGACTTAATTTATGCTCATGTCTCATCTCTACCTCTGAGGAACTTTGAATTCCAGGGCTGTCAATTGACTGGCTTATTCCCGCATTTCTGCTTCTGTGGCTGGAGAGGCCTGGCCTTGAGTACAGCAACAGGCTTTTATTTCTTTGCTTCTATTTTCCCATCCGCCCATCTTTCCACACACCAGCCAGAGGGTCATATAAAATGTAAAGCAGAGCCTGTCATTCCCCCGCTCATCACATTTCAAAAATTTCCTCATGCACTCAGAATAAATCCACACTGCTTCCCATGGCATCTGGGGGCCCAGGTGAGCTGGCCTCTGCCCATCTTTACAACCTGTTCCTTCTAGCCACACTGACTACCCAGTGTTTTCATAGCATTTCACAGTTTATAATTCTGTGTGTTTTGGGTTTACTTGTTACTCTTTTTCCCCACAAGGTAGATGCTCGATGCGGGAAGGTAAGGTATTTTCATTCACTGATTTAAAACCTAATGCTCAATAAAATGTGCCAGGCATAGATGCTCATGCATTTATTTATTTTTCTTAAAATCTTGTGATTTCTACTACTTTCAGCTAACCAGCTATTCTTTTTCCATGGCAGTGTTTACAAGTCCTCCCTACCACTTGAACATTCATATTAAAACGGATGCGTGCTTACATTTTTTTTTTTAATACTGATTTTTTGGTGAGTCTCAAATGATAGTACCACACGAAGGCTGGTTAATTTCCAGATATATCAGTTTCTGTTGCATTCTTTAGTTGATTTATTTCTAGAAAGCTTTAGATGATCACAGAGTGTTCCCAGTGATTTGTTTGAATATGACTTTGAAGCGTTGGCTTATGTGTATTATAAAATATGATTCTAGGCTGAGATTATTTTAAATTGGTTGATGTTATATTTGTTGTGTAGGTATGACAGAAATTTACTCCTTTTAATAGTGTCAATATTGGTGTCTATCATCTGAAATATAAGAATCTTGCTGAAAATTTAGTTTAATACTATAGCCATGATGCTACCCAGAAACAGTAAATGATTCATTTTTTGGTCAAGTCATTAAGTACTGTTTGGTGCTTTACCTGGTGGCTTAAAGAACTAGAGCATCTGCCCACGGGAGCCATTTAGTCCCCTCTCAGCTATGGTTTATCTCTGATGAAGTCTGTATGGTGAAAGAGGGTCATCTATTCTCTCTCTGCAGATTAAGCTTAGGAAATTGACTTTTTTTTTCCTGTTTTCTACTTTTATTTTTGTATAAGGCAGTAATGGCAAGTCTGAAGCTCTAGGGAGGTACTTGGCTTTGTCTGCTGAAGCAGTTCCAGTAGCTGAACTATCTCTGGCAACTGACCATGTTTCCTTTAAAGCACTTTCAATTTCAGTAAATCTTGGCAGGACCCCATAGAAACTAGGGGTGTGTGTGTGTGTGTGTGTGTGTGTGTGTACACATATATTTCTTTAACTGCCATATTATTAGATAAATAATTTGGAGTAGGTATATAGCTTTAATGGTCTTAATAATACCATGTTAAAAGGTCCTTTTACCATTGTCATTACAGTGACTTTATGATGTGGCCCAAGGACTTTGTTAGGAAGAAACTGAATCCTGAGGGGGTACTTACAGCAACAGGGATTAGGCTTTGTGAGATACAATTCAGACCCAGATCTTTCCTTGTTTGCAGCCTCTTTCTTGGATGCTCTGGAGGATATAATAGTCACACAGCCACTCTTAAGCTTTAAGCTGGCTCTGCCAGGCATGAGGGGGTCTGATGCTTTGGAAAGGGCATGGGTTTGTGGTGTCAGGAAGACCTGAGTTAAAATCTCTATTCTGATATGTAATAATTGTGAATGTGATTAAGTTATTTAATTTTTTTTGGGTCTCAGTTCCTTATGTGTAAAAATATAGTAATACCAATCTTGTAATTGTATTGAATGAGGTAACAAATGTGAGATTTCTTGCTATGTAGTAGGTTTTCAGTAACTGAATTTTCTTTCTTCCTCTGCATTAATATTCTCAATGTTTTCTGATTGTGGTAGAAGTCCCCTGTACCCACCAATTCAGAGGTATTTTGCAACGGTCATTTTAGTCTTACTTGCTGCTTTCCCCCAAAGAATGTAAATTTGAAGGAGTGCATCATAAAGCAGGCCAGGTCATCTGTTTCTGATGAATTAAAAAGGAGAGGATGGCATTTGTGTAATCAGAAAACACTATCTTAAAATAAACAAGTTATTTTTAAAGTGCTTACATTACATTTTTATAGCTTAATGATGCTAATTAAAATCATGTTGTTTTTGACCAGTACTTTTTTTAATACCTGTCCCCAGGGAAGGAAGAATATGCAAGATGGTATGAGTGATGGTGAAATCCCAAAATTTGATGGTGCTGGATATGATAAGGATCTGGTGGAAGCCCTTGAGAGAGACATTGTGTCCAGGAATCCTAGCATTCATTGGTTAGTGCCTTTTAAATTCTTGAATTAAAGTAGTGGAGAAGTTAAGTTATAGGTCGGTTTGGTATGAGTCTTCTCTTTTAACTATAAATCTCCTGTTTATAACTTCATCCATAATATGAGTTCATGGAATTGACAAAACAGTCCTTTTCTCAGAATATAACCAAGACACTTTTCATGTTAATTTGATGTTGACATAACTGACAGAAGTTGTTAATTGAATAACATTTTCTAATGAATAACTGGAATGTTATCTGATCTCTGATAAAATTTTATGCAGTAAGAATTGAAATAATGTTCTTAATAGCAAAATAATTTCATAAATAACAAAATTAAAAGAATTAGTATTGACCATCAGTCAAAGGCATCCTTGAATAAAAGTGAAACTTTGCTGTTCTTGCAAAGGGATGATATAGCAGATCTGGAAGAAGCTAAGAAATTGCTAAGGGAAGCTGTTGTCCTTCCAATGTGGATGCCTGATTTCTTCAAAGGAATTAGAAGGCCATGGAAGGTAAGAATTTATTAAAATAATATAGGTATAAAGATGCTGCTTGCATGATAATGAAAGACAGCGTTGTAGTTTCTATATGTGTCTATTAACACCATTTGTGAAGGTTGGGGGAAGTTTGTACACACCCTAAATTCCTGGATTTGAATTTGTAGTTGAGTTATGCAGCCTCTGCGTAGCAGGAGAGGGAGCTGGACTGTTGAAACTATAGTCTTTAGTTATATCACTTCTCTAAGGGTTTCTCAGCTAGAGATTAGTTGTAAGAATTTCCTAGATGTCTGTTTCTGTAAATAAAAAGTTAAGCACATTAAACAGTAATAGCACATAGTTGTACAGAATAAGAGTTTGATCAAATACCTTTCTAAAAGTTGGCGTATTTCTCACTAATTATTTTGATCACTTCATCTAAACTTGGTATAAATCTCAGATATAATGAGAATGTGTTTCTTTTTAGCTCGCCCTCTGCTTTAGAGTTTAAAGCCTACCCAGAACAAGTTCCTCCTAAGTCCAGAGTCTTCCTGTTAGCGTGTTGAAAAATCCTTCTAACAGCTGCTGCCTGAAACATGTTTTGGTCTTAGCATAGGCAGAGCCTTCCTTTACTCTTAGTGGTAGACTGCAGTAAAAGCATTATCTTACTTTGCTCTCCTAAGTTAACTGGGAAGACCTGTTTCTCTTCTCAGTCCCTGCTTGTTTATGCAAGTAACTGGGGCACCCATAGCATTTCGATTGCTTTTCACAACTTAAATACTGTTATAGACTGTTAATAGAGTTAGCTAATTTGGGGAGCATATTACCATACATTTTCCCTCTACTACTCCTTATAAAACAATATTTGAAAGAGAGAACAAGATCTTAAAATAGGTATTTAAAGAAGTTTTAAAATAGCTGGAGTGGTAGTTGTAACCTACCTTCCTAAAGGAGACCTGAAAGTTTTTATCAGGAGGGTGATTTACAAATGTGGAAGATCACCTTGCTAGCAGTGTGGAGGATAGACTGGAGATGGGCAGAGAGTGCGTATAGATGAGGAGTCTGATCTGGAGCCTGTTGTGGTAGTCTAGCCCAAGGACGCGGACCTGCACTAAGGCATTTGTTGTTTGCTAGTGAAAAAATGGGTGGCCTTATGAGAGATATTTAAGAGGTAGGTGACAACATTATGGCTGATAGTTATAGGGACGAGGGAGAGGGACAGTTTTATGACTCACCAATTCCAGGCTTGAATTGAAGGAGTATGCAGTTACTTCTGAAACCCACTATCCAAAACTGGGCCACACTTTACAAGCTAAGGGCAGTTTTCCACAAGACTGCCCTACTTGATATGCCAGCTGCAAATGTGGGGGTCCTTGAGTCACCCTCACTTCTGACCAGCTCGCTGTAAATTTGGGGCTTCTTACTACCCCCTCAGGTTTAGTAATCTCTAAAATGACTCACAGAACTTAGGAAAGCATTATACTTAAGATTACAGTTTTATTATGGCAAAAGGAAGTCATTCAGAGTTAACCAGAGGAAGAAATGCATAGGGCAAGATCTGGGAGGATGCTGAAAGTAAAACGTCTGTGTCCTCACTGTGTGGAGTCAGGATGCTTTACTCTCCTAGTGCATGGATGTGTAACAATACATAAAGTGTTGCCAGCCAGGAAGCTCACCTAAGCTTCACTGTCCAGTTTTTATTGGGGTCTCATTACATAGTCTTGATTGATTGAATCATTGTCCATATATCTCCAGTCCCATCTTCCTCTCCCCAGAGCCCCAATCCTCTAATCACACGGTTGGTTTTTCTAGAAAAGCCAGCTGCCATCCCGAATCATCTCATTAGCATAAACTGTAAGGCCTACCATGAGTTACCTCATTAGCATAAAATTTCAGGGCTCAGCATGGACAACAAAGACACTCCTGTCAGTTGGGAGATTCCAAGGATTTAGAGTCTTCCTCCCAGGAACTGTGGTAAAAGGCCAGCCAAATTATTTATTATATAAGGTACAATGAACTGATTTTGAAAATTGAGAGAAGGAAAAGGTTTAAATAAAAACAAAATTAGGTAAATGCTCAGCAGGTAATTGGAAATAGCAGTCTGGAGCTTAGGAGAGAGTTTGAGTTAAAAATTGCAAGATATGGATGGTGGTTGATAATGTGTGAATGGATGGAATTGTTCAAGGAGTTTTATAAAGGGAAGGGAGCACAAAAGTCTTAGAATTGCTTTGAGAATGTAAAGGGCCAGGGGAAGAGGTGACTATCTTCACGTAAACACACTGAAGATAGTCATGATGGGGAAGTAACAGGAAAGGGCAGTGGCATAGAACCACCTCAGGGAGGAAGGGTTTCAGGAAGAAGGGAATGAATACCAAGTATCAGCAACATGAAATGTCAGAGAGAAAGAAAGAACATACTAATTGAAAAGTGACCAGTGGATTAGTAAATTGGATATTTTTAGTGAAATAGTGGAGGCAGAAGGCAAGTTGTAGCTCATGAAGAAGCACCGTAAGCTTAAACCATTTCTTTAGGAAGGTTGGCTGAGAAGGGAAGGAGGGATGTATAGTAGCTAGAGGATTTGTAGAGTTAAACAAAGGAATTTTTTAAAAGGGACATACTTAAGTATGTTTATATATCAAAGGGAAAGCGACAATAGAGAAGGAAATGGAGATAATCAAAGGAGTAATGTCATGAGGAGGGCAACGTATACACTGTACAATATCTAATGTTGGAAAAGGGAGGGGCAAATAGAAGGGGAGGGGCCATTAGAGAGAAAAGTGTGAACTTGGTTATCGGTGTGCCTGTACCTTTGATTGATTTTGTAACTTTCAAAAGATCATTCTCATGCACAAAGACTCCTTACAAAGCACAAAGTTTTTAATAAAACCAGTGTTTCAGATCCTGGTGATCCCTGGTTGTTCTGGGTGTCAACATTCTACAGCTAGAAAAAGGTTTGGCCAGTTTGTGAATTTAGTTTGTGAAACTTTAATGTGCATGTAGTTTGTAATGTTTAAATTCCCAGCTTATTAAACTAAATTAACAAATGGGTCACAATTCATTTTAAGATCACCAACTAGTATGCTTTTGAGCTCCCATTATAAGTGGCTAGTGAATTGAGTGTTTAAGAATCCCTTTGTATTTGGGGTTTCTTCAGATAAATTCCCAGAAGCTGAATATATAAGGCAGTTCCAGCTTTAATTTTTTGAGGTATCTCCATACTGCTTTCCACGGTGGCTGTACCAATCTGCATTCCCACCAACAATGCAGAAGGGTTCATTTTTTCACATCCTTGCCAGCATTTGTTGTTTGTATCTGAAGAAACATGAAACACTAATTCAAAAGAGCATAAGCACCCCTATGTTCATTGCAGTATAATTTACAATTGGCAAGATATGGAAGCAACCCAAGTCTCCATCAGTAGATGAGTCAGTAAAACAACTATGAGATATTTACACAATGGAATACTACTTGACTGTAAAAAAGAAGAAAAATTTTACCCTTTGTGACAGCATAGATGGACCTGGAGAACATTATGATAAGTGAAATAAGCCAGTCAGAGAAGGACAAATACCATATGATTTCACTCATATGTGGAATTTAATGAACAAGCTGAACTAACCAGCAAAATAGAGACAGACTCAGAGAGAGCAGGATGACAGCCAGTAGAGGATTGCGTTACAGGGTGGAGGGATCAAGAAAAAAGGAAAAAGGACTCACGGACATGGACAGTGTGGTGACGGGGGCGGGGGATGGGAGTGCAAGGGGGATAAATGGTAATGGAAAAAATACAATAAAAATTTTTTTTGAAAAAGAATCCATTTATCTCCAAGGCTAGAGGTTTAGTGTTCTCAACTAATTTTTATTCCTTATTTATTTTTAAAGAATACCTTTCTGCTGATTTATTTTCAAAGATGAGAAATAACTAGTTTTTAGTTATATGTAGTGGCTCTTTCACCATATAACAATATTTTATATAAACTATTACCTGGTACATTAAACTGGTAAAATGCCAGCGAATTTGATTATGTTTGAATTACCACTAGATTTTAGTTACTGTATTAAACTGATAAATGGATCTTCATTGTCTGTCGAACACTACATATTTTAAGTATGTTGTGGAAGATACATCTCCTTGTCTTATTTTAATTTTGTTTAAACAAAGTAGTCAGTCTTAAGTGGTATTTAAGACTATGCATATTTATCTTCTGCCAGGTTTAGGAAAATTGGGTAGGTTCTCTCAAAATGTATTAGAAGATTCCTTGTTGTCTAGACCCTTTGTTTAGCCCATGTCTGAGTACCTCTGATTTGAGACATTTTGCGAAATCACTCTTCATTTTTTTAATCTATAAAATGACACAAAAAATTTCCTTGTATATTGATATTTTATAAGAAAGCGTTTTAATATGATAAATCATTTACCACATCTTTTGAAATTTCAGGGTGTGCTAATGGTTGGACCTCCAGGCACTGGTAAAACCATGCTAGCTAAAGCCGTGGCCACTGAATGTGGCACAACATTCTTCAATGTTTCCTCTTCTACACTGACATCTAAATACAGAGGTGAATCTGAGAAGTTAGTCCGTCTGCTGTTTGAAATGGTGAGTGATGATACATTTAATCTTCAAATTACTGTTGATAGAAGCAGTGCTATCCCTGTAATCTAGATCCATTCATCTAGGGCAAGTGTCGTAGGTCTTGGCACACTCATAAGATGTGGCATGGCGGGGTTTCTGGAGTTGCTGGTGTCTCTCTAATAGACCTTCCATTCTGAGGTAAAGGAAGGCATCCTGTCCAGGGAAGCTAGAAGAGACTTTGGAAATATGGGTGGTGTGAACTGACATTTCTGGATCTCTACTGAGCTGGTTGAGCAGAAGTCTATTTTAATATATATTTTAAAAATCAGAAATTGATCTCATTAAAGTTGGTTCCTTTTCATAAGGGATTTGCATTAGTGACTTAAGAATGCATATTTAAGAAAAGAGGTCAATAATTTATCTTTTAAAAAAATGTTTTATATTATGGAAATTTTCAAATACAATAGTCAAAAGAATAGCACTGTATCTATATATCTGTCCCCAAACTTCGCTAACCATGTAACTTTTATTTTTAGAAATCTCCTTTTTTATATGAATGACTGATTTAACCTCTGTCAGTAACCAAATGGTGGCATTAAAACAGTGAGAAACTTCTATTCTATAACCATGATTTTAGAAAGAGGAAGTGGCACTTTAAAAAATTCAGATTGTTTTATGAGATAATCAACTGATTCCTTTAAAATGTTTTCACAAAGGCTAGATTTTACGCCCCTACCACAATCTTCATTGATGAAATAGATTCTATCTGCAGTCGAAGAGGGACCTCTGATGAGCATGAAGCAAGTCGCAGAGTCAAGTCTGAGCTACTCATTCAGATGGATGGTAATTGATATTTAATTACTGTCTCAAAAGTGTTCTATTTCCTTTTTGAACTTTGTGTAGATTAATACTTTGGAAATTCTCAGAGAATGGACTCGAAGGCAGCTTGAATTTATTTGTAATCATCTGTTCATCCACATTATTTGTTCATTTGTTCTTACACTCAAAAAGCACCTTCTGTATACTTGTTATGTATTGTGCACCTGTTCAGGTTCTGAGGGGACAAAGAAAAGGAATGCATGGTTTTCAAGGAATTTACTACCTAGAACAAAGGTTCTAGAGATGTGATCTGGTATACCTATACCAGGGGCCTTGAAGATTCTTTCAAAAGGTCTATAAGGGCTAAACTGTTTGCATTATAATATCAATACATTACTTAATTTTTTTTCACTCTCATTTTCTTACAAGTGTGCAATGGAGTTTTTCAGAGGCTACAAAACATGTGGGGTATAATAGCTGAAAAGCAAAAGCAGATATGAGAATCCAGCTGTCCTCCATGGAGTAAAACGTTAAAGAGATTTGCAAAAGTGTTTAACAAATGCACTCTTCTTATTAATTTTTTGATTTGGAAAATCATAATTATTTTTCATAGTAATATGTCCTTTACAATAACAAGTAATGGATTGTCACTTTAAAAGAATTAATATTTTAAATTCTCAAGTTTTTAATTTCCAATGATAAATGTTAGTAGCTGTACTCCACACACAAAAGTTCTTTGGAGTTAAATAATTTTTAATAGTATATAAAGATCCTGAGACCAAAATGTTTGAGAAGCACTGATCTAGATAGGAAACATGTAACCTAACAGACAATTGAAATACATTATAGTTTCTGTGGTAACTAAACTCTGGGTATAGTGAGAATACAGCAGGAAAGGTGCCTCCAGACTAAGGGTGTCATGGAAGGGAGTAGCTCTGTTGGGCTTTGAAGCATTAGTATAATTTATTTAGACAAAGAAGAACAGGCATTGGGAAGCCATGGAGGGAAGGGAGTGATGAGCCCTGAGCTGCTTTTTAGAGATATATAACTTTTGGTAGTTGTATGATCAACAGGAGGCTTTTTAAGCAAACAATGAGAAGACGTAAAATCTCTTGAAACAAATCTGGAATGTGTTGTTTTAAAACAATTATGATTATCCACAAGCCATGGATATTTATAATGGGTATTGTACGAGGGGGGACCCAAAAAAAGCCCTGGAATTATCTTCTGGAGGGCGGGTACCTTGCAGTACAAGCTTCCCCACTTCATGAATGTTCTAGGAACCCATCTTTATCTGTGAACTAGCTGGTGTTGTTGTGAGAGGCTGTGTTCAGCTTCAGTGAATTTTTTTTAAGACTTTCAGGGTGCTTACCCATTTCATGATGGGTGATTTACAAGTGCACCTGCCCACAGTGCACTGAGTGTTCAGCAGTTTTTGGCAAAAAAGAAAATGGCATAACCCCTGTGCCCCAATCTTCGTATTCACCTTATCTTCCTATCTTACCTGAGCAGCCTTTTTGTTTTCCTGGATGAAAAAAGTCCTCAAAGGGAAACGTTTTGCTGATGTGGAAGAGGTGAAACAAAAAACAGCAGAGGCCCTAAAAGGCATCAAAATCAACAAGTTCAAAAACTGTTTTGAGCAGTGGAAAAAACATCTTGATAGGTGTATTGCATCAAATGGAGAGTACTCTGAAGGTGACTGAAGTTTAAACATGTAAGAATAAATACACAATTTTCTAATAAAGAAATTCTGGGGCTTTTTTGATCCTCCCCCCCTCATATACAGTGTCAGGCACTGTAAAATACATTAAATAATGTACTGCAAGTCCTTCTCTCAAAGGCTTTTCCATTTTAACTTATGCCCAAGTATGAGAGAATGAAGTGACTATTATATTTTGGGGGATGGATATAGGGAAAACACATTACATGCTTTAAAAATATCACTGAATATGAATTCAGTCAGCTGAATTTCATTTAGGGCTGCTGGTTATTAATTGGACAGCCTGATTCTTTGTGATAATGACTCAAATAGTAATTTAGTAATAATTTATTAAGAAAATACCATATTAAACTGGACTTCTTTGAATCCACTACTTTGTTATGCCAGGCTAGAAACTCTGATAAAATTTGTAAGTTTTTGAAACATTTTTTTTTCACTGTATGTTTTCCAGAGTTTTCATTGTGTAACCTGAAGTTTTGTATTTATGCAAAAATTTTAATTATAGAAAAAGTAGACTCTATGTATATATGTTTGGTATAAAAAGAAACGGTTTTTTCATTAGTGACTGATTATAGTGTTCGTTCTTAAACTTGTTTATTTTTTACAAGTCACTTAGAAGTTTGAAGGACAAAACTATTACACTATAACCTGCCTTTCAGAGTTATGATTGCATGCTGTTATACGAGTATTAAGTAAACGTGAACCACTTTTTTGTTCATTCTCCTTGAAAAAATCGAATAAATTAGATGAACAACTAAAATGAAATTTTTGAGGAAGGGAATAGAGTCCAGAAATAAATATATATGTTCAGTTAATAGATGATGAAAGAGGCAAGAACATACAATGAGATAAAGACAGTCTGTTAAATAAATGGTGGTGTGCAAATAGGACAGATATATGAAAAAAATGAAACCAGACCACCTTCTTACACCACATACAAGAAAAAACTCAAAATGGATTAAAGACTTAAATGTAAAACTCAGAAGCATAAAACTTCTAGAAGAAAACAGTCAGCAAGTTGGTATTTCTCTTAGAAATATTTTTTCTATATATATCTTTTTGGGCAAGGGAAACAACAAAGATAAAATTTTGTTGCACAGCAAAAGAAACCATCAACAAAATGAAAAGAACGTACAGAATGGGAGAAGATATTCATCAATGATACATCTGATAACGGGTTCGTATACAAAATTTATAAGGAACTCATACGACTCAACACTAAAAAAACCAAACAATCCAGTTAAAAACTGGACAAAGCACCTAAATAGACTCTTCTCCAAAGAGGCCAATAGACATACGCAAAGATGCTCAAGGTCACTAATCATCAGAGAAATGTACCTCACATCTGTCAGAATGGCTATCATTAATAAATGAACAAACAACAAGTGTAAATGAAGATGAGGAGAAAAGGAACCCTTCATGCACTGCTGGTGGCAGTGCAGATTGGTGCAGCCATTATGGAAAAGAGTATGGAGTCTCTTCCAAAAATTAAAAATGGAATTGCCTTAGGACCCAGCAATTCCACTTCTGGATCTATATTCACAGAAACCCCAAGCAGTAATTAAAAAAAATATATGCACCCTTATAATCATTGCAGCATTATTTACAATAGCCAAGATATGGCAGCAACCCAAGTACTCATCAATAGACAAGAGGATAAAAAACTGCTGGTACATAGACTCAATGGATATTACTCAGTCACAAAAAAGAATGAAATTTTACCATTTGCGACAACATGGATGGCTAGAGGGTATTATGTTAAGTGAAGCAAGTCAGAGAAAGACAAGTTTCATATTATTTATATGTAGAAGTTAAAGAGCAAAATAAGCAAACAAAGTAGAAACAAACTGGATTAAAATGCTCTCTGTATCTATGATTCTGCCTCTGTTCTCCTTGTTTGCTTAGTTTTATAGATTCAACTGTTGATTGATAAGTATGTATTGCCATTTTATTGTTCATAGTTTTGATCTTCTTTTTCTTAAATAAGCCCCATTAACATTTCATATAATAATGTTTGGTGATGATGAACTCCTTTAGTTTTTTTTCTTGTCTGGGAAGCTCTTTATCTGTCCTTTGATTCTAAATGGTATCTTTGCTGGGTAGAGCAATCTTGGCTGTAGGTCCCTGCTTTTCATGACTTTGAATATTTCTTGCCAGTCCCTTCTAGCCTGCGAAGTTTCTTTTGAGAAATCAGTTGACAGCCTTAGGGAATTTCCCTGTAGGTAGCTTTCTGATTTTTTCTTGCTGCTTATAAAATTCTCTGTTTAATTTTTGGCATTTTAATTATGATATGTCTTGGAGTGGGCCTCTCTGTATCCATCTTGTTATGAGACTCTCTGTACTTGCTGGACTTGCATGTCTATTTCTCATTCACCAAATTAGGGAAGTTTTCTGTCATTATTTTTTGAAATAGAGTTCCAATTTCTTGCTCTTTCGCTTCTTCTGGCACCCTTATGAGGTGAAAGTTGGACCAGTTAAAGTTATCCAGGAGGCTGCTTATACTATCCTTGTTTCCTTAGATTCTTTTTTCTTTTTGTTGTTCTGATTGGTTGTTTTTTGTTTCCTTATGTTCCAAATCATTGATTTGATTTTCGGCTTCATCTACTCTACTGTTGTTTCCTGTAAATTGTTCTTTATTTCTATTAGTGAATACTTCATTTCTGACTAGATCTTTTTTATGTTGTTGACATCCTCACTAAGTTCCTTGAGCATCTTTATAACCAGTGTTTTGAACTCTGCATCTGATAGATTGCTTATCCATTTTGTTCAGCCCTTTTTCTAGAGTTTTGTGTTCTGTTCTTTCAGTTGGGCCATGTTTCTTTGTCTCCTTGTTTTGGCAGCCTCCTGTTTTTTTTCTATGTATTAGGTAAAGCTGCTTTGACTCCATGTCTTGGTAGTGTGGCCTAATGTAGTAGGTGTCCTGTAGGGTCCAATGGCACAGCTTCCCATATCACCTAATTTGGGTACTCAAGGTGCGTCTTTCATGTGGGCTGAGTACACCCTTCTCTTGTGGTTGAGACTTGATTGCTATTGGCAGGTCAATGGGAGGGATTTAGCCTGGCCAGTCAGCTGCAAGGACTGGCTCTGCCCAAAGACCACCAACCTCTGCCCTCCGTGGATGATCAGCTGTGCAGGGACAGGGTGGTGGTGCTCTGATGTGGTCTTGTAGCTGTCCACAGGGTGCATAGGCTCTGAGGTTTCCTGGGTAGTGCAGGCCAAGGTCAGCCCTCACCTATGGTTTGCCTGGGGCTACCCTGCCCGAGCTATAAAGCAAACTGATATGGCTGCTGCTTGTGGGGGGCTTGTTGATTCCCAGGCAAAGCCAAGCTGTGAATCTAGGTTGGATGCTGCTATTGCTAGGCCTGCGGCCAATAAAAAAAAAATGAAACAAACTCATAGATGGTTGTAAATGACAGGGAATTTGGGGCAGGGGCTGGATGAAAAAAATGAAGAGATTAAGAACTACAAATTGGTAGTCACAAAATAGTCCAGGATGTGTGAAGTGTAGCTTAGGGAATATAGTCAGTAATATTGTCATAACTATGTACTGTGCCAGGTGGGTACCTGAAATATTGAGGGATCACTTTCTAAAGTGTATGATTGCCTAACCACTATTCTGCACACCTGAAACTAACACAATATTGAATATAAACTGTAATTGAAAAATTAAATTAAAGAAAATTAAAATGTTTGAGGAACTCATAATTTAAAAAAATAGGGATAAAACTGCAGAATTTTTAATGCCTCATATTTTCAGACTAATATACTTTCATTTTCTTACAGAAAAAATATGGTTTTTCTTATTAGATTATAATCCTGTAGAGATTTTGTGAATTTTTCTATCTCTTTTATTTTTTAAATCCTCACCCAAGGATATTGTTCTGATTGATTGTTTTTAGAAAGAGAAAGGAAGGTATGGAGGGGGAGAGAGTGTAAGACAGAGAAACATCGATGTGAGAGGGAAACTGATTCATTGTCTCATATATGTGCCCTAACCCGGGATCGAATCTGCAGCCTAGGTATATGCCTTGAACAGGAATTGAACCAGCAACCTTTTGAGGAATTGGACAATGGGCCAACCAACTGAGCCACCCAGCTCAGGCCTCTGCCTCCTTTTTTAATAGTTATCTGTTGATGTGCCTGGTTCTATCACTATCCAGAGGTCAGAAGGACTGCATTATTTATATCACTGAGCTGTCACCAAGTGTGTGATTGATGCTTAGAAATGTTAGTTGAATGAAAGAATCAAATGAACTTTTTCCTCTTACTGTGTGTAGGAGTTGGAGGAGCTTTAGAGAATGATGATCCTTCCAAAATGGTTATGGTGTTGGCAGCTACTAATTTCCCATGGGATATTGATGAAGCTTTGAGAAGAAGATTAGAAAAAAGGATTTATATACCTCTCCCAACAGGTATGATGCATTCCCTTTACAATATTGTGATTTTTTTTTTTTTTTTTTGCTTCTTGTTACCTTTTTTCCCCCTCTTAAGTCTTTATTCCAATGACATTCTGGTTAAAGTTTATAGCATCATAAAACCTATTTGTAGTAGGGAAGAGAACAGAGGCCACAGTACTCTTAAGTTCCTTATATTCACAGCAGTGTTTATGTAAATAAATTGAGTAGAACATCTAAGTTTTTTATTTTAATCTTGAAGAGTCTTTATTAAACCTTAAGTGTTCAAAAATAAAATTTTCTTGAGATCTTTTTCAAAATATGCTTCTTTGAAGAATATTTTATCCTATTGAATATTGAAATTTTCATAAGTGAATTTTTTCTTTTTATGTTGAGATATACAGTGAAATATACAAACCTTAGTGTATAATTTGATGAGTTTGGACAAGTGAATACTCCTGTTTAATTAGTATCCTACTCAAGATGTAGGACATTTCTGTTACCCCAGAAAGTTTCTGTGTGCCTCCTTCCAATTACTATAAATTCCCCCTTTACTTTTCTGATTTTTATCACCATGTATTAATTTTACCTATTATTAAACTCCATATAAATGGAATCATGACATACGTACTTGTCTGTGTGGTTATTTTCACTAAATGTAGTATTTTTGAGATTTATTGATTTGGTTACATGTATCAGTAGTTTATCCATGGTATCATACTGCATTTTGTTTATTCTCTTTTTGATAGACATTTGAGTTTTTCCTAGATTTTGGCTATTGTGAATGAAGCTGTAAATATTCTGTACAAATCTTTTTATTTATGAATGGTTTCAGTTCTTTTGGGGAATGTAGATAAAAATAGAATGGGTGGAGCATAGTGTAGATAATATCTTTATTATAACACCCAAACTGTTTTCCTAAGTGTTTGTGCCATTTTATACTTTCATCATCAATAAATGAGATTCCAATACTTGTATATCCTTGCCAACATTTGGTATAGCTGGTGTTTTAATTTTAGTTGTTTTAGCTAAGCGTGAAATGCCATCTTATCATGGTTATTTAGTATTCATTTCTCTGATGACTAATGATGTAGAGCACCTTTCAATTTTCTTACGGTGTTTTTTGATAAGCAGAAGTTTTAATCTTTATGTAGTCCTCTTGTCAAGTTTTCCTTTATGGATAGTGCTTTTAGTGTCTTAAGAAGTCTTTGCTCACCCCAAGAGGGCAAAGGTTTTCTCCTTCAATATATTTGGGGTTCTGAGTGGGGAGGTTCAGCGGCTGAGGGTAACCCCACACACCTGCCCAGTGGTTGAAGTCTGGGGCCTCAGCTGGAGCATCTTCATGTTACCTGCGGCCATTCCATGTGGCTTCAGGGTAGTCCCATTTCTACATGGTAGCTCAGGGATCCAGGTGTGATTGTTTCCCTGGGAAAGGAGCAAGGTGCATTATTATGCCTTAGCCTTTCTCTAGGCTTAAGCCCAGCCATTTTCAGGAGGGGAATTAGACTGCCTTCGAGTGGGGAGTGGCAAGGCGCCATTGTAGGAGCATGGGTGGGATTGGAGAGACTATGGCAGTCATGTTGGTAAATTTAGTCTTCCATGGTGAATGAAAGGCAGGTAACCAGATAGGTAGAGTTTGGCTTTAATGCTAAGTCTCTTCTTAGTTCTTGAATCTAAATATGGCACTATCCATCTGGTCAGCCTAATGGACTTCTTTCTCCAGCCCCCTTCATTTGATTCTGTTTTGCTACCTCCATAACCACAAAGGCATCAGTGAGTCTTGTAGACTCTGAGTTACTCTCATTTCCTATCACATCAGGGTCAATTTTTTTGTTTGTTAGTTTTTGTTTTTCCTGCAAGTGTCTCCCACTTGTGCCATTTGCCTTCCGTAGTGCTCTGTTGTACTTTTCTATTGACCTTCTTTCACTCTGATATATGTGCTTCTTTCTACTTCCATTATTTATAATGCACCCATTTCCTAGATGTTTTTTCTTCCCTTCCATTTAAATTTTATTATTTTTCAAAGTCAACATTAAAACTTTCAATTCTGAGGTCATCTTTGCCCTGATCGATCTCCCTGTGTGGACTCCATGTCCTTGGGTGCTTCCATCTGTGTTAATTGTCTCCCAGATGTTACTTCATAGAAGGGATCTAGGTTTTCTCAGTCTCCCTCTACTCCTGTTTGTTGACTGATCAATGATGATGATGATGGGACAACAGACATTTGCTGAATGTTGACTCTGGGCCAGGTTTTCAATGTATTAACTCATTTAACTCTCACAACAGTGTTATGAGGTAGATTCTGTTCTTATCTTTATTTTACTATAAAGGAAGCTGAGGCAGTGAGAGTTAAATATCCTGCCCAGGGCAGCAGAACAGGGATGTGAGTACAGTTTGACCCCAGCACACGTTCGTTGTCCACTTCACTGAAATTGCCTGGGGTGCGTTAGGAGGGTTGTTACCGCAGTCTTTATTGATATCTAGAATATGTGTTAACTTGGCTGTGTAGCAGTGGCAGATCTTTATACTATTAACACATTAACCCCTCATTAAATCCTTTCATGAGGTTATTACATATCATTAATTCAGATTTATAGAGCTGATAAACCCTACTTAGAATCTTTTAACAAATCGCTGATACAAGCACTACTGAAAGTTCATTTTTCCAAAATCATAGTTATTAGGAAAAAGGAGGACCCTTACATCTTGGCTTTAGACCACCAGGCCCTCACTTATGAACAGGTTTATGCTCAAAGTTCATTTAAGTTGGCTGTGTAGAACTTCCTTTGGGGGAGAATACATTATATTAAACTTGGCATTGAAGTTCTTATGGCAGGCCACAGTAAAACATTTGCTTTGCAAATACAGTGACATTCTAACATTGGGACTTGATGAACAAAATGGTAATCGTTCACTAACTTACCTATTCTCTGTAGGACACAATGAAACAAGTTCTCAATTCAGAGCTCCTACGGGAGCACCAGGAACACAGCCTCCTTCTGTAGCAGGAGACCCAGGAGCTTCCTTCCCACCCCTCTTTCTTCCCACACCTCTGCTGACCACCTGAGTGGAGGAGTTCTTTGGTCCTACATTTGCAGCATACCATGGTGAACTGCAAGGTGGGCTCATTGGCCAGGGATGGCCGAGGATAGGGAGCTCCCAAGATCAAGGAATTCTAGAAATAAAGGTTTCTTAGTCACACCTTTTCTTCTTTTTGGCAACTCCAAATAATACCTGGTTGCTTCTCTTTCCACTGTGGCTGCTCTTTGCTTTGTCTTAAGTAGATGCATATGTGTGTGTGTGTGTGTGTGTGTGTGTGTGTGTGTGTGTGTGTGTGTGTGTGTGTGTGTGTGTGAAATACTACTCAGATACAGAAACATAGATTAAAATACTCAATTTATCCAATATTTGGCAAAGCAAACAGCCACATAACCACCCCCTGGGACAAGAAATGGAACATTTTCAGACATTAGAATCTCCCCAGTATGTTCCTTCCCTAGCACAGCTCTCTTCCTGCCCCTTAGCAGTAATCACTGTTATTCTTTTTATGGAAATAATTTATTGCTTTTCCTTATAATTTTATCACCTAATAATATATCCCCAAACACATTTTTACCTGCTTTGGAACTTTACATAAATGAAATCACACTAATTGTGTTTATTTTCATCTTGCTGACTTTGCTCAGTATATTTTTCAGATTCATCCATGTTGTGACATACAGATACAGATTATATTTTTCCTGTGGGGTATTCTATTGTATTAGTAATTTTCTGAGTCTACCGTAACAAAGTACCACAGACTGGAGGCCTTAAATAGCAGATGATTATTTTCTCACAGTTCTTGAGGCTAGAGTCCAAGATCAAGGTGTCAGCAGGATTGGTTTCATTCTGCAGCCTTTTTCCTTGGCTTGTAGATGGCTCTTTATCCCCATTGTCTTTATGTGGTCTTCCCCTATGTGTCTGTGTCCAAATCGTCTCTTATAAAACACATATGGGTGGATTAGGGCCCACCTTCATTTTACCTTTAATTGCCTCTTTAAAGGTCTCACCTCCAAATACAGTCACATTCTGAGGTGCTAGAGGTTAGGACTTCAACACAGGAATTTGGGGGAAGGATGCAATTCAGCCACAATAACCATTATGTGATTGTACCAGTTATACATCATATTATTTGATGGGCATTTTGGTTATTTTCAGTTTTATGCTGTTATGAACAACGCAGATCTGAACTTTTTTATGCTGCATAGTAGTGCAGATGCCTAAGCTTCTTTAGGCCAGGACAGAGCATTCCCTCCTAGAAGTGAAATGGTAGGTTGTGTCACATTGCTGGAGCATCAGGAGGTAATCCTGTCTGTCTTCCTGAGTGGTCATTCCAGCTCCCATCCCAGCCAGCCCTGTGTGAGAATTCTTGTGGTTGCATAATTTTCCACCTGGTATTGGCAGACTTTTTAATTTATACTACTGTCTTGGTATAAATTATTGTGGCTTAGTTTGTATTTCCTTTATTATTAAATAATTAAATATCTTTTCCTTTATTTATTGGCCATTTAGATTTTGTAGTGGATTTTGTGTGTTTTTACTCTATTATAGTGTCTTTTGATAAATAGGAATGCTAATTTTAATGTGGTTAGGTTATCAGTCTTTTCCTTTGTCATCTGTTTTTTGAATGTATGTCTTAAGAATCCCTCTCTGAAATCATTATGATGTCTTCCTGTTTTATCATCTATAATCCTTATAATTTTACATCTTAATACTTAGATTAGTCATATATCTGACACTGATATTTTATGTACATATGAGGTAGGACCCAGCTTCATTTTTGCCTGTGCATAGTCAGTTGTTCTGGCATCATTTATTTAGAAGACACTCCTTCCCCCAACTGCCTGTATCACCTAGTCCTAAATCAGTTGTGCACAGCAAATGCTCTGAAATGCTTCCTAGGCACCTATTTTGTGTCACTGATCTGTTTGTCTGACTCCGAAAGAGTATCACACAGATGTAAATTTTACTGCTTTTGACAGGGCAGTTTTGCCCATCTTGCTGCTGTTCTTCTAGTGTCTTGGTTGTTACTGGTTCTCTCCATATTCATAAATTTTAGTTGGTTCCACTGACAGGCATGTTTAGATCTTTATTGGAATGCCTTGGCTCTGTAAGATCACTTGAGGGAGAACTGTCAATGTCATGAAAGACAAAACAAACACAGAATAAACACTGTGGAACCGTTTTAGATTAAAGAAAAGAGACATGATGACTGCCCTGATTGGTGTGGCTGAGTGTATTGAGTGCTGGCCTGAGAACCAGAGCGTCGTTGGTTCGATTCCTAGTCAGGGCACACGCCTGGGTTGCGGGTCAGGTCCCCAGTGAGGGGCACATGAGACGCAATCACACATTGATGTTTCTCACCCCTTCTTTCTCCCTCCCTTTCTCCTCTCTAAAAAATAAATAAATAAAATCTTTTTAAAAAGAGGGAGAGAGTTGGTGACTAAATGCAACATGTGATGGGTTCTAAGAAAGTTACAAAGGTCTGGAAGACCAACTTCTGGCCAAGATGGAAGTGTAGGTAGGTATGCTTTGCTTCTTCACACAACCAAAGAAGGACAACAGCAAATTTAAAAAAAGAAAACAACCAGAGCTGCCAGAAAACTAAACTGTATGGAAGTCCAACAACCAAGGAGTGAAAGAAGAAACATTCATTCAGACCAGTGGGAGGGGCGGAGACAGGCAGCCAGGTGGAGAGGGCATGCAGCAAGGCAGCAGCTGGCGGACCAGGCAGTCCCACATTCACGTGAGGATAAGCCAGAAGGAACAACTGGGGTGTGAGACAGACCATGCAACCCAGGGTTCCAGTGAAGGGAACTAAAGTTTCAAAACCCCCCAGCTGTAAAAACCTGTGTGGGTTGTGGTGGTGGGAGAAACTCCCAGCCACACAGAAGAGTTCGCTGGAGAGACTCACAAGGTCCTAGAACATACACAAACCACCCACTCGAGAATGAGCACCGCAAGGGCCCAATTTGCTTGTGGGTAGCGAGGAAGTGACTGAAAGCTGGCTGAGAGCCAAGCAAGTGGCATCATTCCCTCTGGGACTCCTTCCCCACAGATGGAGCCACCAGGCAGTGAAGTGGGTTGCCCCACCCTGGCGCATACCTAAGGCTCCACCTTTACAATGTAACAGGAGTTCCAAGACAAAGAAATACGGCCCAAATGAAAGAACAGATCAAACTCCAAAAAAAGAACTCAGTGATGAGGACATAGCCAACCAGTAAGATGCAGAGTTCAAAACGCTGGTAATCAGGATACTCACAGAAATGGCTGAATGCGGATGCAAAATAGAGGAAAAAGTGCAGGCTATGCAAAGTGAAATAAAGAAAAATATACAGGGAACCAACAGTGGAAGGAAGAAAACTTGACACTCAAGTCAACGATTTGGAGCAGGAGGAAAAAATAAACATTCAGCCAGAGTAGAATGAAGAAACAAGAATTCCAAAAAATGGGGAGAGACTTAGGAACCTCTGGGACAACATTAAACATTCCAACATCCAAATCATAGGGGTGCCAGAAGGAGAAGAAGGGCAAGACATTGAAAACATATTCGAAAAAATAATGGAGAACTTTCCCAATCTGGCCAAGGAAAGAGACTTCTAGGAGATCCAGAAAGCCCAGAGAGATCCAAAAAAATTGAATCCAAGGAGGAACACACCAAGACACATCATCATTACATTACCCAAAATTAAAGATAAGGAGAGAATCTTAAAAGCAGCAAGAGAAAAGCAGACAGTTACCTTCAAGGGAGTTCCCATAAGATTGTCAGCTGATTTCGCCAAAGAAACCTTGCAGGCAAGAAGGGGCTGGAAAGAAGTTTTCAAAATCATGAAAGGCAACGACCTACATCCCAGATTCCTCTATCCAGCAAAGCTATCATGTAGAATGGAAAGGCAGATAAAGTGCTTCCCAGATAAGGTCAAGTTAAAGGACTTGATCATCACCAAGCCCTTATTGTATGAAATGTTAAAGGGACTTAACCTAAGAAAAAGAAGAAATTCAAAACTATGAACAGTAAAATGACAACAAACTCACAACTATCAACAACTGAACCTAAAAAAGCAAAAACAAGAACAGACTAAGCAAGCAACTAGAACGGGAGCAGAATCACAGAAATGGAGATCACAGGGAGAGTTATCAGTGGTGAGGGGGGAGAATGGGGGAAAAGGTACAGGGAATAAGAAGCATAACTGGCAGGTACAAAACAGACAGGGGAAGGTTAAGAATAGTATCGAAATGGAGAAGCCAAAAAACTTATATGTATGACCCATGGAAATGAGCTCGGGAGGGGATGGGGTGGGAATGCTGGTGGGAGCGGGTTGCAGGGTGGAGAGGGATAAAAGGGGGGAAAATGGGACAACTATAATAGCATAATCAATAAAATATACTTTAAAAAAACTAAAACTAAAAAAGAAAAAGGATGGTAGGGATCGTGTATCTGGGTCTTAACTGTTATATGCTGATTGGTACATATATGCAATAATATAAAGTTCTTTGCAATTAAACTTTGTTATTATAGCAATTCTTTCTCTAGATTTGGCCTCCACATGTTTCCCTTGAACTTTCTACTAAGTTCTTCCCCAAAATGTGGCATTGCAGACAGGAGTTGCTTAGGAAAAAGATATCCTTTACCTTTTAAGCCTATTTATCTTCTAGGCACTAAAATAATAATTTGTGTTTTGTTTATTAGAGTTTAAATGAGTGAATAAATTTAGCTTTTATGTTATTGTGAAGTTTATATTTTTAGTTGTAAAGTAGGATTTTTATAGTTCTGTGAACTTAGGCAAGAGCAGTTGGGTGTCAAAGCTAATACAGATTTTGGCTTTTATGTATTAAAAATGGAAAGTTTACAGTATATTCATAATGTAGGAAATGAAAATAAAATTAAAAATCAGTCAAAAAAATTATAAAGGTCTGGGACAAATGGGAAGGGACATTTTAATCTGGATTGTATATTAGATGATACTAAGGTACCAGTGTTACCTGATGAGTGTGATAATTGCATGGATACCTGTAGTCTTAGTACATACTGAAGAATTTAAGATGAAGCGTTGTGATACCTACAGCTAGCTCTGAATTCAGAAAAGAACAGAGAGGAAAGGAGAGAAGAGGGGAGTGGTAATGGCAAAATGGTGACAATTGGTGAATTTAGATGAAAAGTAAATAAATAGCTGCTTATTGAGTTTCTTATTTGTAGATTTTAAAATTTTCAAAATAAAAGTTGAGGAAAGTTAAATGTCATTACATATGTCAGGAAATGATAGAGACCCAGATCTAGACTAATTATGCATTATTTTAGTGTGTTGTATTGAGCAGGTTTGCCACTTAAACTGATAGTAAAACAGCAAGTATGATTGCTTATTTAAAAAGTTCTGTGGTTTGTTTGAGCTTTCTCAACGCACATTTCAATCATCTTGAGACAGCAAATGTTCTGTGGGCTGGCTCTCCAGGTAAATGATACATTAATAAGCATTTTGTGCCAAGTGCAGCTTTCCAGAAAAAGAAAATTGGATTTTTAAAAAAACTACTGACTAGAGTTGTGTAGGTCTTTTCCTGTAATCATACTAAAGAGGTAAGCAAACTTAATGCATAGGAGTTAACAATCTATGCAATGTAGTTTTATAGAACTTTTTTTACTAAAAGGATTTCTGGTGCTTGAATACGAATGTTTTTATTTTTTATAAAAGGACCTCACACCTGTTTTTCTCACAGCAAGGATCTTCAAAATCTTTAGGAAGACTCTCAGTTTCTTTCAACATTTAGTTATTTCAGCCAAGGGACATAGGAAGTTAAATGATTCCAGGAGTCATGAGTGAACTGGTAATACTAGTGGACTCACAGTTCTTGACTCTCTTCCTTCTCCTGAATGTTAATATGTGATTTCTCATCAGAATGATTTATAAGGAAAAACATGTAACAATATCAAAAAAATCTTCTCACAGCAAAAGGAAGAACCGAGCTTCTAAAGATCAATCTTCGTGAGGTTGAATTGGATCCTGATATTCAACTTGAAGACATAGCAGAAAAGATCGAGGGCTATTCTGGTGCTGATATAACTAATGTTTGCAGGTATTTTTTCTTTTATAATGGTCTGTGATGTTAGAGATTAGTTATGGGATTGGCAAGAGAACTGGTCTGAAAGTCCATGTAGTTATTGGCCCTTGACATGAAAACAGCCACCCGTTTCCTTGGAATGATCTCCTATTTGTTTTGTTTTTTTTTTATACAACTTCACTGTTAGATGAATAAATACATAACAGTATGGTCACCCTCTCTATCCTGTGGTTTTTTAAATTGTTCTATCTAACTTTATAATGACTTTGACAGCCTAAGGTTCATTTAGCCCTAAATTGGAGCCTGGCTGCATCGATGTAAAATAGTATCATTTAGTTTTGGTTGGCATTATTTTACCATATGCAGATGAACACAGCTGACCAGTTTAAGCTGTGAAATTTTCCTTTCAATTTAGTGATATCATAGTTTTTAGACAATTTACATCACTCATTGAAGAGGATTTTTTTTTTCTTTTAGTTCTTACTTTCCTAATGATACTTAAATTGACATCAGTGGCCTTGCTTTAAAACCACAATATCTGTGTTTCACACTTTTTTACTGGTATTTTACAGGTGTTTACTCGTATTTTTTACTGGTATCTAAGTTTAATGGCACACAGTAAGTTCACAATAGTTTTTAATATCACTGTAGTAAAATATAAAACAATCACTAATTGTCCATTTAACTGGACCTTCCGTTTTTCGTGAGCACTAATTGTCCATTTTTCAAAAACCTTCAGAGTGGTTTACAAGTGATCAGAATGGACTTGAAAATTGGATCTGGGGAAGTCAGATTTTTTAATCCCTTTAGTTGCCTACAAATTCTCCATGTAAGGAATTCCACTTGTAGAATTTCACTTGTAGAGAGAGAGGTTCCTGGCCTTACCCCCTCTAATTAGACTACAGACAAACTGGTAAAAAGATTTGAATTATCTTAACATTTAGCCATATGTTCCTTTCCAAGTATACAATTCAGTATTTCAAAATTCTACTTTAGTTTTCTAAACTTCTTGGCAGTCTTTGAGGAATAAGTGGGGAAAATAAAATTCAGTATTATCTGAGCGCAGCGTGGACTTTTAGGATTCATTAACAATACATTTTATGTTGAAGTCCTTTGCATCCTCTTTTAACCTTCCTTGCACAGTCAGGATGTCTCTGAGGTAGAAAATTTTACACAGCATCATAAAAACATATAACATGATCTTTTGAATGTTTTTCCTTAACTTTGTTACAACTGAAAGTGTTTACAGCATTTGAAACAATGAGTATTCACTGACTTTGGTACATTTTTAGGGATGCATCCTTAATGGCAATGAGACGGCGCATCAATGGCTTAAGTCCCGAAGAAATCCGTGCACTTTCTAAGGAAGAGCTTCAGATGCCTGTTACCAAAGGAGACTTTGAGTTGGCTCTGAAGAAAATTGCAAAGTCTGTCTCTGCTGCGGACTTGGAGAAGTATGAGAAATGGATGGTTGAATTTGGATCTGCTTGAATTTTTGTCAGTCTCTCATTTCTGATATTTTTGTTTATAAAATGTGAAGAAATTCCTGCATTTAAAAAAATAGGTTTGGAAACTTTTCATTGGAGAGATTTTCACTTAAAGGCAAACTAAAACCACGGAGTATAAATGTAGTTGCAAAATAAGAGAAGCTTACATAGAGAGCCTGATGGCCCATATCCCCCGACTGTGCATTAATATCGCAACCCCAAACCAGGATGTCAGGGCAGTGGAGGAAAGGGATCAGTGTACTATTGTGGAATCTTGTTTACAAAAGATTTAGAAAGACCTCTATTTCTCACTAGCACTTGTTGTCTTTTGCTTTTTGTGTTTTTCTATTCTTTCCTCTAAACTTGAGGGATCTACATATGTTGATTTTTAACATCAAAACTGAGGTTGTATCAGATTCATTATTTGTTAAGAATGATAGTTTTGGATTAAATAATGAATTTACTAGTTAAACCATTAGAATTCAGCTCTTTACTGTTAAGAGTCTATTGTATGGTTTGAATTTTTACCCTTCCTCCCCCACCATTTCTTCTGTTAGCTCTTTTATCATTTATTGAGCTCTGGGTGAGAATATCCTCATGCTTTGTGGTTTTTGAGTCATTTTGCTAGCTTGTTTCTCTGGTTGTTAGTATTTTTTTGCTGGTACTTCTCATATTTCAAATTGGAAGGGTGGAAAGAATATTATTATACAACGCACTTCTCCATTTGAGACCTCTGAGTTTGTTTTCAATGTGGTCAAACAGATAAACCTGTTACTTTTTTTCAGCTCCAACATTGTTTGATTTTTGTTGAATTTGACTTTTATATTCTAAATAAATACTTATGTATTCTGAAGAAGTCCACTCTCTTGTGGCTAATGCAAAACAAACAAAAAAAAAAAAACAAATCTGTAGTTTTCCAGACAGATTGTTTAATGAAATAACATTGTACATAATGAATGATGTTTATTTGAAAATTTTAAAATTGTGCTTTGTCAAGATTGAGAACTTGTGCACATGGTAGAAACATTAGGATAGAAAAATGCCATGCTTTATTCAGTTCAGCAGGAATTAGACTGAAAGAGGCCAGAAAAAGTAGGTAGCATATGAATCACAAGTGAGTGGAGTTAGTCTCCTGGTGTTTCAAATTATATTTATTCTATTCTGATTGGGCAACCTATGCTTTAATGGTCAAGCTTTTAAAATTTTTATTTGATGATATCCTGACTTCTCAATTTTAGAGAATACTTACTGGTTTAAAACTAAAAAAAAAAAATAATAATAATAACTCTTTATATACTTTATAAAAAACCTTTTAGTATCTTAGGATATATTTTCCCTCTACTAAGAACTATGTAATTTGCGTATAACTTAAATCTGACTCTAAATTCCAGTATTAATCTAATGCTGTAAATTACTTTCTCCTGAGGCCTAGAGTATAAGAGTTAAAGTCATAAGTTTTTTAAGATTTTAAAATCATGGTTTTATTTTAATTGAATTAATTCATCTTAAAAATTAGATGATAGTTTCCTTTTATTCATTTCTTTCTGCCCATTTTTATTTTTACTTATTAATTTTTTTATATTTCAATTACAGTTGACATACAATATTGTGTTAGTCTCAGGTGTACAACCCATTGATTAGACGTTATGTAACTTACTAAGTGATTATCCTGATAAATCTTGTACCCATCTGACACCATATGTAGTAATTAGAATATTATTGACTGTATTCCCTATGCTGTACTTTACATCCCCATGACCATTCTGTAACTACCAATTTGTACTTCTTAATCCCTTCACCTTTTTACCCATCCCCCAATGCCCTTCCCATCTGGCAGTTGTCAAAAATGTTCTCCGTATGTGAGTCTGTTTCTGTCTACTTGCTTATTTATTTTGTTTATTAGATTTGTTGATAGATATGTATTTATTGCCATTTCATTGTTCATACTTTTTGGTCTTTTTTTTTTTTTAAAGAAGACCTTTTAACGTTTTATGTAATACTGGTTTGGTGGTAAAGAACTTCTTTAGCTTTTTCTTCTCTGGGAAGCTCTTTATCTGTTATCTAAATGATAACTTTGCTGGGAAGTAATCTTTGTTGTAGGTCCTTGCTTTTCATCACTGAATATTTCTCTCCACTTCCTCCTGGCCTTCAAAGTTTTTCTTGAGAAATCAGCTGGAAGTCTTATGGGAGCTCGCTTGTTGGTAACTAACTGCTATTTTTCTTCCTGCTTTTCAGATTCTCTGGCTTTAACCTTTTGCATTTTAATTATGATGTGTCTTGGTGTGGGCCTTTTTGTGTTCCTCTTGTTTGGGCCCCTCTGTCCTACCTGGACCTGTACATCTGTTTCTTTCACGAAGTTAGGGAAGTATCCTGTCATTATTTTTTCAAATAGATTTCTAATTTCTTCCTCTGTCTCTTCTCCTTACAGCATCCCAGTGGTGTAAATGCTGATACACTTTAAGTTGTCCCAGAGGCTCCTTACACTATCCTCATTTCTTTGGGTTGTTTTTTCCTCTTGCTGTTCTGATTTGTTGTTTTCCCTTCTTTATTTTCCAAATCGCTGATTTGATTCTCAGCTTCATTTACTCTACTGTTGATTCCCTGTAAATTATTCTTCATTTCAGTTAGTGTATCATTCATTTCTGTCTGGTCCTTTTTTTATGGTTTTTAGGTCCTTTTTTATGTTGTTGAAGTTCTCACTAAGTTCATCTACTCTTCCCCCTAGTTCATTGAGCATCCTTATAACCAGTGTTTTAAACTCTGTTTGTAGTAGATTGCTTGTCGCCATTTTGTTCTTTTTCTGGGGTTTTGTTCTGTTATTTCATTTGGGTCATATTTCTTTCATTTTTTTGAATCCTCAACTGAGTATATGTTTATTGATTTTAGGGAGAGCAGGGGGAGGCATGGGAGAGGAGAGAAACATCGATTGGTTGCCTCCCGCATATGCCCCAACCGGGATCAAACTCACTGCCTAGGTATGTGCCCTGACTGGATTGAATCTGCAACCTTTTGGTGCACAGGACGATACTCCAACCAACCAAGTCCCCTGGACCGGGATGTTTCTTTCATTTTTAATTAAAGAAATAATCCCACTAAGATAATCTTGCAAACTGTTGCCATCCAGTAACGTTCTTTTCTGAAGTACTAAGAGCAATTGTTAAAACAGTAGTGTTTTGATTGCTAGAACTTGTTCGTATTCTGTAATTGATTAGTTAGATCACTTTTCCTAGTTTGTGTTACTTGTCTTGGCATGTATTTCATTTTTTAAAAATTTCTTCATGGATAATTATATGGTAATTGTAATTTTTAAAAATTATTAATTAAGCAGTATTTGGAAACTCAAGCTTCCTGGAAGCTTATCTTTAGCAAATTAAGTGAGTCAGGTATACTTTTTTAGTTCCTTTTTTTTAATTTTGTTCTGTCAGTGGACGGTGAATGCGCCATATATCTTCAGCCCCTTAAACCACCCTGAGGAGACCTCTCAGGTGTTCTGTTTGCCTTCATAATATATTGTGTGTACACCATCATTATTGCCAGACAGTGTGTTGCTTTACCCAGAATGAGAGCATTGTTGAGATTTATTTTTTTCTATGCTGCATTATCAAATTAGAAAGTTTTTTTTCCTATAATTCATCTGAAAGCATGAGTATTTTGGATTTTTGCAACACTGTGGTGTTAGGACTAAGTTTGTGCAGTTCTGTCTTGCATACACCTGATCAGGTAGTTCCCTCATTCAGCCGACTTGCTTTGCGTGCTTCCTGTGTACAAGAGCGGGGCGGGGGGGGGGGGGGCGGGGGGGCGGGGGCGTGGGGCAGGCGCGGGGAATGGGGAAGGGCCTGGTGGGGTTTCTTTGCTTACAGAGTTGGACCATGCAGCACAGATCCAACTGAGCACTTTGTATAACTCCACAGTGTAGCCTTGGCTGCAACTAATGAAACAAGTTCAGTTCATAAATGGAGAGCCACAGTAATCTGGGTGTGCTTTGGAAAGATAAAAGGTAAAAGGTTTTCTCTTTTTCTCTCTTTAAACCTGTTTTAAAGTTAGAACTGATGTTCTGTGAGAACAATATAACTTACAGATCTTGCTGTTTTCATTAATCAGTTTTGACATTTCTAAGCTGAATGCTTATTGTAAACATGTACATGTGTAATTGTGTAGACATGTAAACATGTTACATGTTTTTAAACATTTTGTTCTCATAATTTCTTCATTTTTTAAAGGGATTAATATTAATGAAATATAACAGACAAGTGGCTCTTTAATGTAGACTGAAACCTTTTAGTAATGCAAGTAGACAGTAGACAAGGGTATCACAGACTTTGTCTTCCAGTGAGTAGCAGCATAGGCATTGCAGAATGACCAGACCCACTTGGGCTTGGATCTTGGTCTCTAGAAATACCAGGACAGCTTGGAAGAGGATACGCATGTGGTCTAGCTGCATAATTAGGGGCTTCATCTGAGCTCCCGAGATTGCAGTTTTTATGATGTAATATTTGACTGTCAAAAAATAGGCTAAAATCACTAATTATCAAAAAATGAGCAGACAAGTGTCTGATGAATCTACTGTCAATAAACCTACAGATACCTCAGAAAAAGTGTGTGTGTGTACAGTCCAAATGTACAGTGTAATTGTCACTCTTCCACTTTGGTCCATATAGCCTGATTGTGTATTATATATGAAATTATTGGTAGCCTTTAGGTTTGGAGCAGCTTGAGTTGCTTGAATTTCTTCCTAGGAAGTTTCTATGTACACTGTTTAATTCACAGTGTGAGTCATAAAACAGGAACCAGTTGACATGGTTGTTTCACTCTCCCCCACCCTACCTTGAGAGGCAGGGAAGGACTTAGGCAAGTATTTCGTGTTATGTGGGCTTTGACTCCTTCAGTATTGTCTTGATTATTGAGTCTTTTTTGTGTAATAGTAAACTCCTACTCTTTCTTTGATCTTACTGATGATAAATACCTTAGGATGCATCTTGTATGATAGGCATAAAGCAGCGGTCCCCAACCGTTTTGGCACCAGGGACCAGCTTCGTGGAAAACAGTTTTCCACAGATGGAGGGGTGGGGAAGGTTTCCAGATGATTCAAGCACATTACATTCAAGCTGACCTCCTGCTGTGTGTCCCGGTTCCTAACAGGCCCAGACTGATACCGATCGTGGCCCAGCGGTTGGGGACCCCTGGCATAAAGCATTAAGGATGCTTGCTGGCCTTTTCCAAGAAATGGCTACTTTAACTTGTATGAGGAAACAATAGTAATTATTTTA